GTGTGTGTGTGTGTGTGTGTGTGTGTGTGTGTGTGTGTGTGTGTGTGTGTGTATATATATATGTATGTGTGATGCATATGTGGTGTATTTTGAATAAGGAAAAGTGTGTAAATTGTTTCTAAACTGGAAATAGGCTCTACTGGGAAGATTAGAAACTCTGGGAAAATACAGATCTCAGTCGTTGAGAAAAGCACCACTGAGGATCAGACAAGCAAATAAATATTTCAATAAATGAAGAATTCATAATTTTAAGACAACGTAAAGGACACTTGACCATCTCATTAAGAAACACATCACACCCAATAATACACCCTGTTCATGAATATTGTTATTACTGCTGTTAATATTGTGGGTAGGTGTTAATTAAAATGGAGGTTATTTTATATTTATGTAAACGGGTGTCATTCTGTACCAGTTTTCTTCAGTGGAAACTTCACAGGAACAGAAAATGTGAACGGTTGGGAGACAAAGGTGGGAAATATCGTTTGGGTCAAAGAATTTGGGTGTTTACTGTCACATTAATGTCAAGTAACATCTGAGTGAGATGATGTCCATCATTTATAAAGCCCACATGATGTTATATAAAAGCTGAATGACATCAGAAACGTCTCCAGGTCATTTTTTATACTTGTTGTATTACATTTTCAAAAAATCAGAGGACATAAGCTACTGTTCAAAAATTCGGTCAATAAAACTTTTTATTGCTTCTGAAATAAGTCTTATGCTCAACAAGGCTGCATTTATTTGATCAAAAATACAGAAAGAACAGTAATATTGTGAAATATTATTACAACATTAAAAAAGTCTTCTATTTTAATTTTTTTTTTTTTTATGTAATTTATTCCTGTGATGGCAAAGCTGAATTTTCAGCATCATTACTCCAGTCTTCAGTGTCACATGATCCTTGAGAAATCATTCTAATATGCTGATTTGCAGCTCAAGAAACATTTCTTATTATTATCAATGTTAAAGACAATGTTATTTGAAATAGAAATATTTTGTAACATTATTTGATCACTTTTGGTCAATTTAATGCATCATTCCTGAATAAAAACTTTTCAAAGGTAGAGTAAATGACAAAAGATCATACAAGTTTTAAATTAATTGTGCATTCAGGAAATACGTTGTCAGTGTGTGTCCTCTGGGAATCGAATGCAAGACTTTGGCATTGTTATATTAAGCTACAGGAACACAACTAATGTATCCAAAGACACATGGCATTGTTACAGACCATTACAAACATTCATATAAAGTCATTTACAACTAAGATGATATGTGTTGCATAATTTTTTGAATTCCTTCATGTTTTACATTTCTCTGTACATTTCATCATAATTAGCCATCTCTAGAATTCTCTGTAGTGTCCTATGACTTGCTCACATCCAAAAACCTCCATTTACATGTAATGTGAATGCCATTACTCATGCAATCCATCACACATCACATAAATATACTGATCTTTCTCTGTGGTGAGTTGGGATGCTCCATCTACCTGTGTATGTGGTCATTACTTCTGACTGCTCTCTGACCTTCACACAAAGGCATCCTGTCATTCATATTCTCCTGCTGCTTTATTTGTTAGTGACGCCGTGGCGCTGTCGCTCTTTTGTTCCATTCAGCCTTTTGTCACTATATCTGGACCCTCTACATTTGCAGCTAATTAAGTCCAGGCCTCATCACACACTCATTCTGTTGGCATTCGCTAACGAAGCTTGTCTGCCCCTCCACAATAGTCCTAAAGAGCTCTCTGTACAATTACTTGGATACAGGCACACGCTAATGACAAAGATGCTAACAATCCTAACAGTTCTTTATTGTATCATAATCCAGCATCAAATGAGAAACATGACATTGAAGAAATAAAGGGGGTAATATCAGCTGGATTTCTTTGTCAGTCTAATTTATGCCTATAATTAACCTCGGAGGATGAAGGGGTGGGTGGCACATCTGTATAAAAAACACTAGTCCCGTATCAGAGAGTGAAAGGACCATCATATTTGAAGTCCATCAGATACATGACATTTGTCTACAACAAGACAGGGGCAGCAGCCAGACTCATGGACTGCACAGCCAAGGTAAGACCAGTCAGAGACTGTTCAGAAATTATTGGATTGATTTAAACTGAAAGCTAAAATTTTAATGGTTCCATCTGGGGATAATACAGTTTAATTTGCAATGACATTCATGCTGGTCATGAAGCTTCATTGGAACCAAAAAATTATACAAGCTGCAGCTGCTAAGCTGAACTGATAAAGAGTAACGCAATCAGTAAACTTTCCAAAAGAAGATTCTTAAATAGAAGATTTAAAACATTTAACTCAAAAACACAGACGTTTCTTTTTCTCCTAAATTAATTAAATCTCTAAAATTAATCAACAAGGCTAGTGTTAGTATTGACAGCTGTCCACTCATAGTAATTAGAACTCAGAATTCTTGGAATAAACAATTAGATTTTTATGTGAGATATACTAGGTATTTAATTATCTTGAAAGTGTTCTATTTGTACCTGCCAGGTAATGGAAAATAACATTTTTAAAAGGAAAAAAAATATTTAAATTCAAACAAATAAAGGGACACTAACAAACAAATCGAGTTTCATTATTTAAAATAAACCTATTTTAGTGTGGTGAAGATTCTTTTTTCATAAATCACTTTCGATCATAAAAACAATCAGATAAAACACAAGCAATCAAACTTTTCTTGGATTCAGGATTTCTGTGTGGATTTCTACACTGAAAAAAATGCCCTTAGGGCAAGTTATTTATTTTTCATTGGCTCAAGTTAAAAAATATAGATGTGAATCATTACCCTCAATTTTTTTAATTGGATGAATTAAACATTTTTTTCAGTGTATATGGGATAAAAAGTTATAAAAACTCAGTATTGCGCTGCTATTATCCAAAACGTCGGAACTGTTGAATTAATATTCACCACTGATTGAACCCATCCTCTCTTTCCATCAGAGAGTTCGGCTGCTCCTCTTCATGGCTCTGCTGGCGCACCTGGCTCGAGACGCAGAGGGCGTGGCCACCTGCTGCTCGAGCGCGTCAGGGTCCTGCAAATTATACGAGATTCTGTGCCGCGCGGGACGCCGAAACGACACTTCCGTCGCCAGGCATATCAGCCGCTTTAATAACGACGCTGCTGTCGGGATTCTAACACTTGGCAAACGTAAAGTGGGCGAGAGACGCGTCCAAGACCGCCTGCAACAACTCCTGCACGGCTCACGCAATCAAGCGGCGGGAATCCTGACTATGGGAAAGAGATTCGAGGACGGCGGGCACCTGCCGCTCGTGTTCGCGGGAGGGACGGTGAGCTCGCCCTTGAGACTCGGACTGGAGCGTCTGCTGAAATATCTGATGCCCAGGGAACCTGAAGATCTGGACGCTTATGAAAAACGATGACACTTGCCGCTTTTAAAACAAAACACAGAAGAGCTGTTCATTGGAGACGTCAATTTGTAGGCTGACACAGAAGGCTAATTCTTAATGGGGTTTTAAAATAACGTTTTTGATTCGAGTAAAAAAAAGGTTTGTGATTAACAA